AATTGGTCAGTGTGGCGTCCTTGAGGGCAGGAACCATGTTCTTTCTGTCTAGCTGAGCACCCGATCTGAAAAACAGTATTTATGAAATCAATGAATGCCATTTTTAGACAGGCTTTTTGTTTTAAATCCCTATACTTTTAAAAATAAAGAAACTATAAATTATAGACAGTCTTCATCCAAAAGGTAGTTCGAATTTTTAAAAGCTACCACTTATTCATTCTCAAAAAGTTGCCAGTCATTCTATAATGGGGTCTGCATGCATTCTCAATCTTCACAATAATCTGAGGGTATTATTACTTTCCTGTTTTACAGACAGATGGTAAAGTGAAGCTTAGTGAGGTTAAGTTGTTTGTTCAATGCCATACAGCTAAAATAAATATATATATAAATACATACAGGATCACGGTCGCTGCAGTATTGAGAAGAGAAAATATTGGTGATAGTGCAAAGATGATGATGTCTTGGATATGGTGGTAGCATTGGGGTTGGTGAGAAGTAGCTGGATGTGAAGGTAGAAATGAAAGGATTTCCTGATGGATTGGATCTACAGTAGAAAGCAAGCCTGAAAAACTGGAATAGTGAGATTACCATACACTGAAAGGAAGAAAACTAGACAAACATAAAAAGTTCTGGCAGGTTAAATTTGTAATGATCATTAGAAATTCAAATGGAGGTGTTGAGTCAATAGGTGAATATGTGATTCTGGAGGTAGGGCAGATGTTTAGGCTAGACAAATTTAGAGTTGACAGTGTATAGATGGAATTTAAAGCCACTGAGACCAGATTCAATCTTATAGGTAGCTAATGATAAAGAACATGATGATGCCCTGGCTGTTTGCTCAGTGGTTAGAGCATTGCCTCGGGGACCAGAGAGTCCCGGGTTCGGTTCCTGCTAAGGGCATGTACCTTGTTGCAGTTTGTCCCTGGCCCCTGTTGGGGTTGTGTGGGTGGCAACCAGATGTGTGTCTCTCTCACATCGATGTTTCTCTCCCTTCCTTCCTCTCTCCCTCCCGCTCTATCTGAAGATAAATACAAAAATGTCTTCATGTGAGGATTAAAAAAAAACAACATGATGATAAGAATAAGTACAAATGATTAATGCATATACTGCCTGGCATGCTCTAAGTGCTTTACATAAATAGATTCATTTAGTCTTCACAACCACTGAAAGAGGTAGCTACTTCTATTATCATCAATTTATAGATAAGGAAATTGAATCTTGGAGAATTTAAGTGAGTTTCTTCTGATCAAACAGCTGGCAAGTGGTAGAACTGGGATTCATACCCAGGCAGAGAGAAGTAAAATATTAAGTGTTAGAGCCCTGGGACACTCCAACTTTTAGCAGTCAGGGAGATGAAGAAGAATCAGCAAAGGAGACAGAAAAGGAGGTTCCAGTGGGTAGGAAGAGAAGCTAGAGTAGTTGGAAGCCCAGAGGACAAAATGGAGAAAATGTTCAATGGCATAAATTGCTTGCTGGCAGGTCAAGGAAGACAAGGACTGAACGCTGACTTTTACATTTAACAAAGTGGCTGTAACAGATGACCTTCACAAAGGCTGTTTTGAAGCAATGATGAAGTGAAGTCTCAATCAGAATGAGTCCAAGACAGGATAGAAGAGACATTAGAGTTCAACTCTCTGGAGTTCAGCACAGATACCACCCCAGACCCAGTGAGAAGTATTCACATGTGGAATAAATTAAATCGGCAGCTGAGATTTGTTACATAAATAAAATAGATTTGATTGGGAGTTTAGTGAGGAAAAGATGTGGGTAATTTTATAGCTCTTTTTTAGGAGAATAAACCTGAATTCCTTTTTCCTGGATTCAGTCTTTGTCTTTCTCTTAATAGAAAAATTCCCAAGCTCCAAATTTGCCTACCTCCTCTCTCCAAAATAAAATTTCTCCTGGACAATGTTTTATTTGTCCACAACCCCAACCTAGCATAGGACCACTCAAGAAGGGCACACACACACAAAAAAGTGTAATTAATGCCTAACATTCTAAATACAGAATATGCTACTCCAAGGTTATTATTGACTACTTGCTGTTCCCATAATAAGCCTATACTTTTCTCTGTTCTTCACAGTCATTCAAACTGATTAAAAAAAAAAAAAAAAGTTTTATCTTTTTAAAGCCATGTATAAGATCTTGATTTTCCTGTTATTGTGGGTATTTCAATAGTAGTTTATTTTCTGTCCCTGTCCCTCTCCCTTTTCATTAGATAGTAAAGCTTCTCCTAGTATAAGACTTTACCATTCTTTGAGTCCAGAGAGCCTTGTTTTCATTTACTATATTATATTTTACCTTTATGGGACTAGTCTTATCTTGCCCCTTTTCCCCATCTTACTTAATTCCTCCAGGACAGGGACTGTCACATGTTTCAATTTCCTACTTAGCATATAGAAAGTTCTATCTATCTATCTATCTAGCTAGCTAGCTAGCTATCTTTAATGAATGAATATGTATTAAAGTCAATTGAGTTGAATGATATTCACCTGTAATGAATGACACTGATGCTAAACTAACCAAAGACAGTGGGACCTCCCATTCCACATGGCAACAATTGCATAATGTTCTTAGTTTAGGGACATAATAATTTTAGCTAGATTTATGGAAGGTTAAGAAGTACTATAAACCACCAAAACAATAATAACTAAAACCAATTAAATTAGAAAACTCATGGCTTATTGGTTTGCATTTTGGTTTTTCAGTATTTAAAAGTTTTTGGATACTTGTTTAATAATTAATACCTACTAACTTGTTTCATAACTTATATCTCAATCAGTGAGTATTCTTTTTAATTTACACCATTTCTGGTTATCTGGTTCATACAATTATAAGTAATTAGGCTGCTGATTCAGTTATGAAAACTGTGGCTTTCACTAGTACATAGAGATGATAAAACCAAGGGGAAATAATAGCCCTAGTTAAGGATTCCACATATAACAGTAAATGATAGAATCTTGAAAACTGAGATTTCAGACCTGTTGCAAATGGCTGAAATACAATATTAATATATTTTCCCCAAGCCTTTAACATAATAAAATGGCACAACATTTTATTACATAAACATGTAATAGAGGCTACTGGCACATTGGTTAAGCAGACGCTGAGGAAAGAGGAAGGGTATTTACTATGATTACCATATACTTGTTTTTACAGTTTGGCTTTCACTACTCATCCAAAATACTTAGTTACAAATTTGCCAGGGTGAACTTGTCTTGGGACAAAGATGAACAATGCTTCTTATGGAGATTTAAACCACAAATCACCCATTTCATTCTATTTTGGGATGAAATTACATTTTCTTAGCTACCTATGCTATCCATGTTTTAGATTCCACATGCACAGGCTACCAGAATCTTAAAGCTAGAAAAAATATGTAGTTAACCTGTTATATTACAGATAAGAAAATTTAGACAAGTAAATTTAGGAAAATTTAGGGAAAGTTTAGGAAACTTTTCACCTATTGAAATCACAGAACTAGTTAGCATTAAAGCTAAAACTCAAATCCAATCACCTTATCTCCAATTTCTGTATCTTTTCCTGTTCCCGTAGTCTTCTTCTCCTCCTCCTCCCCCCTTCTCCTTCTCCTCCTCCTCCTTCTTTTTGCACACAGACCAGTAATTTGAGTGATTTCGACCAGTAATTTGAGTGATTTCATAATTCTGGGAATGGCTTTATTCACCAGAAAATAAACTTTTTATTTGCCATAGGGTCTACCCTCTTTTAAAATGAAAATAACTTTGGGAAGTAAAGATAATAACTAACTTTGGTATAGTACTTTACGAAGGAATTTCCACATATTTTGAGAACACTGGCTGCTGTCTCACACAGATAGTGATCATCTTTTTATTAGAGTGCAGTCCTGTGACAGAGGAGTCCAAGCCGCTGGGGAAGCAAGCCTAGGTAGCTGGAGAGTTCACTTGGGTAGGGGTGTTAGGCAAAATTGCCTGGAGCCAGGCAATTGGAATGTATGAGTAATGAGAGGCTCTTTTTAAAGAGTTATTTGAACAGCTAGATCAGTGGTTCTTAACTGGAGGAGGTTTTTGGCCCCCATAGGATCTTTAGCAATGTCTAGTGACATTTTTTTATGGTTCGTAATGGGGGTAGTGATGCTTACGGCATTTACAGGGTAGAGACCAGGGATGCTGCTGAACATCCTACAGTGCACAGGACAGCCCCCACCAGAAGAATAATGTGGCCCTAAAGTCAATAGCCCTGAGGTTGAGAAACCCTGAGCTAGAGGTAGAAAGATTCATTGAGGAGCTAGAGGAGGCTTCTTGAATTGTCATTACATGCATTTTAGAACTTATAAAAGGAAATAGGTCACACACACTTGTGTGTGTGTGTGTGTGTCTAACAGAATTTCTAGGGAATTTTGGAGACCGTTTATTTGGATTTTCCCCTGCAGTGGATGTGGGTTGCCCAGGTAACTCTAAATTCATACACTCGAGTTGTATGGCATTCTTCTTTTCCGGTTTTCAGAAATCGGTCCTAGGTGCTAGGCTTTTGGACTCTTCTATGGTAGCAGAGAATTCTTCTGTGGGACACAGTGTTCAAGAACTTTTTTGTTCTTTTAACAAATGTTATATTGTGTGATGGATTTCACAGGACACAAGGAGTGGCCTCACGGAGAATCAGGTTTTCTTCCGGAGCTGACATCCACGGAGAAAAGAGTCAAGGACTGTAGCCTACCCTCGACTACGTCTCCGGGAAACCTCGCATCCCCACACAACCTTCCCCACCGCCTCAGCCCCAAAGTGACTTCCGAATCCTGCGAGGCTGAAGCAGTTGCCTTTTATACTTGGAGACGCGCTAGTGCGCGCGACCGGCGGCTCGGAGCTGCCGAGTTGACCAATGAGCGGGCCCTCTCTCCGCGCCGGCTCGGGATTGGGCGAACCGCGCCAGCCTCTCGGCTCAGCAGCGGGCGGGACGCGGCCAGGAGGGTCTGGGATAGGCGCGCCCGCTACGCCAGAGTCCTGGGAGCGCGTGCGCGGTCTCGCGCGGTCTCGAGGTGGAGTCGCTGCGGCGGCGACGGCGGCGGCTGGCGGTGGCTGGTGGCGGGGCTGGGACGGGGGCGGGGACTAAGGTTTGTGAGGTGGGGAATCGGGAGTTTCTGGATTCTTTATCCGGAATTTTAAGTGCCGCTGAGGAGCTGCCGTTTCTGCAGTATTTAGGGGCGGCTTGGGCAGCAGGATCGGCGGCCGCAGTGGCGCAGAGGTAAGAGACTGACCGACAGCGGCTCGGTGTGGAGGTCTTAATCAACAGGTCCCCGGGAGCGCGGCGGGGGAGGGGCGGCCGGCCTCGTCCCCTCCCCCACGAGCCGAGCGCTGGGCCCTGGAGGGACCCTAGGCTGCTCTGCGGGCTGCCCCCAGTCTGCGGGAGCCGCAGCCCACCGCGGAGGGCGTGAGCCCAACCTTTGTCCCTTGGAGGAACGCTGCCTGGCGGTGCCCTGTCCCTCTGTCTTGTCAAGGGACCACCTTAGCGGGGTGCCGGTCCTTCCGACCCGAGTTGCAGGGGGTGCGGCCCGGAGTCGCCTGTCCTCTGCACTCCCGTCCCCGGGTTCGGGACTCTCGGGACTCCCTCTAGGCCGGTCCGGGAAATCGGCGGAGCGAACACTTTCCTTTACTAGACGGAATGTAGTCAGCGTTCCTCTGCCTGACTCAGCTCCTGGTATTCAGCTGCTCGTCGCGTTCTTTAAACAAATAAACAAACAGTTCTTACTTCCTTTTGACCACTCTTAAAGAAAAGCCTAATCTCGTAAATAGTTTCCGATAGTTTACTCTTAAGTTTGCAAGGTGAACTTTGAAGCCTGTAAACTGTTGTTAAGCTGCGTTTAATGCAAGGCTCTTGAAACAATCTTTAGTGCAAATTATGTAACTTCCTAATAATAACTCACCTTGTGTTTAGTTGATTGATATACAGTAATGTGTAGCGTACGGAATTCAGGTTTCAGTCGAAAGGCGGGTGGTTGGTTTTTTTGGCACTTGGCGCAAAAATTAAAATCTGATAGCCAGGAGGTGTTTAGAAGTATATAGTGTATGTTTTGTCTCCGTAACTCGTTTGGAATTCTTAAGAATTTAAATATGGAAACTTTGTAGAACAAGAATATTAAAATTTGAATTTTACTAACAAGGTGAAAGATGTTAATATTTCTGCATTTTGAAAAAGTAATGTGTTTTAATGATTGTATTCTAATTATGCTTTTGGATTATACCAGAAGTTAATAACCTATTAAATTCTGCAGTTGTAACAAATGACATGTTGGTTATTGGTGTCTTTGAAGTGTATCGGTGGTAATGAAATTGTTAAATAACCTTTTTTGGATTATGAAGTACTGGTTTTTGTTTTTTTTTAACTGGATCCCTCTGGACATGGCGTATTACAAGTTTTTAAAGGCTCTTTAAACTATCGTAGCAGGCTGAAACTATGAAATTATAACGTAAGGTCTTTATAGGCGAAACAGGCAAAAGAAGGAAAAGCAATTAATTTTATCTTTTTTTTTTTTTTAATCAAGTAACTCTTATCTTGTACTTGAATGACTTTTGGCTAGAAAGACCCTGAATCTGACAAGTAAAGATATGCTCACAATAGTCCTGGCCGGTTTTGTTCAGTGGTTAGAGTATCAGCCTGTGGTCCAGAGAGACCAGGGTTCGGTTCCCGCTAAGGGCATGTACCCTGGTTGCAGTTTGTCTCCAGCCCTTGTTAGTCGTGTGGGTAGCAGCCACTCGATGTGTCCCTTTCACATCAATGTTTCTCTCTCTCTCTTCCCCTCTCTTCCTCTCTCCCCCTCCCACTCTATCTGAACAAAAAATGGAAAAATGTCCTCGGGTGAGGATTAAAAAAAAAAGATATGCTCAATAATATTAACTTGTTTTAGAATGTTAAAGTGAGAAAGGATATATGTTTTACCTGAGGGTTAGCTATTTATATGTTCTTTCTGAGTTTGTGATCTTGATTAAAAGGTGCATCTAGGACATGACAAGAAATTTGGTCCATTTTATGTATCAATATACTAAGATGCTCTATTTCTCTGATGGTTTCTGATTTCAGGGTATATGGGGGAAATAGTTTCCCTACATAGGGGCTTTAGAATATAATTTTTTATTATATACTTATCGAATCATAGAATTGTTGAGTTGGAAATATTCTTAATGATTGTATAATCTTACCTCTTAATACTTCAGGAAAAGTGAGGTTTATGTAGTAAGTAGTCCATAGTCAAACTGCTAGTTAGTGGCAAAGTTGGAACTAAATGCTAAAATGCGTGTCTCCAGATTCCAAGTATGGTGCTTTTTTCACTATATACTATTGTTAAATAAACAAACCAATAAGTTACCCTTCTCAAAATCACATGTGTAGCCAGCAGGTTGATTCTTTTTTTAATGCATTTTTTTCCTTTTTTTTTTTTTTTTTTTTTTAAATAACCACTAGCCACAGTTAATTCATTCCCCTTCCCCTTATGTAGGGTGGTTTTCTTTTTTCTTGTTTTCTTTCTTTATTGATTTTAGAGAGAGAGGAATGGAGAGGGAGAGAGAGAAACAAACATTGATGAGACAAACATCGATTGGTCGCCTCCTGCATGCCCCACACTGGGGATCAAACAGGCAACCTCTTGGTGCATGGGTCGATGCTCAACCACTGAGCCACACCAGCCGAGCGTGGTTTTCAGTTTTTTAGTATTTCAAATAATGTTCAGTGAATACTTTTGCACTTTTGTGCATGTCTGCTTGAGCACATGTATGAAGATTTTCCTAGAATGTATACTTACATGTAAGTGGAATTGCTGGGCCATAGGTTGATGTGCTTTTTCAATTTTGTTATCTGCAGCCAAATTATCCTCTACAGTTGTAATAATAGCCCACACTTGGGATTGTCAGATTGGCATTGCTAGATTTTTAAAATTTCTGCCAGTCTTCTGGGTGAGAGATGATGTATTTGTATCTTTTTTTCAAAAAGATTTTACTTTTAATTTACATGAAATGGAATTAACTCTTTTCATTGTACAGTTGTTTGGGCAAATGCATAAAGCTGTGCAACTACCAAACTCAAGATACAGAACAGTTCTCGCACCCAAAATTCCCTTCAGCTGCTCTTTTATAATGAACTTTCCTCCACCCTTAACTCTTAACACCTGGCAACTAACGATATGTTGTCTTTATAGTTTGTCTTTCTAGAATATTATATAAGTGAAATTTTACAGTATTTAGCCTTTTGTGTCTGGTTTCTTTTATTTAGCATACTATATTTGAGTGTTCACTCATGCAGTTGAGTGTTATCAGCAGTTTCTTCAGTTTTATTACTGAATATAGTATTCCATTTTATGGATGTACCACACTCTGTTTATCCATCCATTGAAGGACATTTGAGTTATTTTCAGGTGTTTTGTTTTTTACTATGAATAAAGTTTCTGTAAATCTTTGAGAATAGGTTTTTGTGTGAATGTCTTCATTTCTCTTGGGCAAGCACCTGAAAGTTGAATTGTTGAGTCGTGTTTAACTTGATTAAAACTGCCTGTTGTAGGCAGAATAATGTCCAACGAAGATATCCTAATTTCTAGAGCCTGTGAATAAATTAAGTTGCATAGCAAAGATGAGTTAAAGTTGCAGATGGAATTAAAATTGCTAATCAATTTACTTGTAAATACTGAGATTATCCTTGATTATCCAGGTGGGCCCAAAGTATCACAAAGGTCCTTAAAGGGGAAAGAAAGAAGCAGTAGAGTCAGAAAACAAGATATAACAATGAAAGCAGAGCCAGAGAGATGCGGAGTTCTTGGTTTTGAAGATGGAAAAGAGGGGCCATAAGCTAAGGAATGTAGTAGTCTGTAGACGCTGGGAAAAGCTAGGAAATGGATTAATCTTTAGAGCCCCCGTAAAAGAATGCAGCTCTGTCAACACCTTGATTTTAGCCCAGGGAATCCTGAGTCAGATTTTTAACCTACAGAAATGTAAAATAATGCATTTGTTTTGTTTTAAGCCCCTCAGTTTCTGGTAATTTGTTATAGCAGCATAGCAAACTAGATGCTGTAAAACTGTTTTCCAAAGAGGCTGAACCAGTTTGTATTTTCCTCAGCAATGTATGAGTGTTTGTTACTTTACATCCTCATCAGTACTTAGTGTGGTAAATCTTTTTAACTTTAGTCATTCTAATAGCTATGTTAGCACTATCTCATTGTGGTTTTTATTTGCATTTTTCTTATGACTAATGATATTGAGCATCTTTTCTTGTGTTTATTTCCCATCTGTATATAGTGTAAGCTCAATTCTTAAACTTAATTCTTTCTGAAACGCTGCTCGAGAAGTGATTTGTTCGAAAACTGAATCATTTTTTCCCCATTAAAGATTGTTTTGTGAGCACTTTACACCCTTAGCAACATCAGCACTCTTGATGGCCTCTTTATTTTTTAAAATTGTGCTAATGGTCAATGTCAATTCTCTCCTTTGTCACCTGAGAGACTGATGACTGATCATAGAAGTATCATCATGAAAGGGTTGTTCAGTTGGTAACCAAAGTTTTGTTTGACAACCAAGACATTTTTTCCATGAACAACTTGGTCAAGAACTGAATTGTTTGAGATGGGAGATGTTTAAGAACCCAAGGTTTGACTGTATCTTCTGTGTTTAAGTGTCTGAATATTTTGCCCATTTTATTTTTTTAAAGGTATTGCTTTGTTTATTTTTATTTACTTGTTTATTTTTAGAGAGAGAGGAAGGGAGAGGGAAAGAGAGAGAGAAACATGCATGAGAAAAAGAACATCAATTTGCCACCTCTTGCATGCCCCCAACTGGGGGTTTGGCCCACAACCTGGGCATGTGCCTTGACTGGGAATTGAACCGGTGACCTCTTGGTGCATGGGTCGAGCTATTTTGCACATTTTAAAATGGGATTTTCTAATTGTTGAGTTTTGAGAGTTCTGTATTTCCTTTGTCAGATATGTGACTTGCAAAGATTTTTCTCCCAGTCTGTGGCTTGCCTTTTTTATTCTCTTAACAATGTCTTTTGAAGTACAGACGTTTTAAATTTTGAGGAAGTCCTTTCTTTTATGGATCTCACTTTTGGTGTTGGATCTAGGAATCTGCCCAACTCAACATCACAAAAATTTTCAATGTTTTCTTCTACAATTTTTATATTTTACATTTACATCTATATTTATATTCTATTTTGAGTAATTTTTGTATGTAGGGAGGTTTGGGTTCAGTTTCATTTATTTGTCCCAT